AAGGAGGAGGAGGAGGAAGGAGGAGGAGGAGGAAAGAGGAGGAGGAGGAGGAGAAATGGAGGGAGGGGGAGAGGGAGAGGGAGAAAGAGATGGAGATGAATGAGATGGAGACAGAGCCAAACAGAGGGAGCCTGTAAGACAAAGAGACAGAAACCACCCCAGAGCGAAAGAGTATAATGGAAATAAGGATGCAAAGAGACAGAGAAACACAGAGGGACAAAAGGGGAGCCTGAGGTCTGAGCAAGAGAGCTTGCAGCAGATCCAGGACAAAGAAGGGCAGAAATGGGGGTCCTTGAGGCAGAGAAGCAGCCAGAGACCCCAGGGCCCCCTCAAGTCCAGACTTGGATCCACTTGGATCCACTAACCCAAAACTTGGATCTACTCAACCCCCAGGCCCTGCCCATCCCAGCCCAACCCCAGTCTTACCAGTAGCAGCTTCCTTTGGGGTAAGTCAGGGCTCCCGTGGCTGCCCGGGGCTGGGGCCAGGCAGTTCTGTGCTGTGGTCTGACCTTCTGCCCCCTTCAGGGCCCATTTATCTCCCTCAGCCCCCTGGGGTGGGAGCCAGGGCATGTCTCCTGGCATGAGGCAGCCCCTCACCTATGCTTCATCCTGTCCTAGGGGGCAGTGAGGACACATCCTCAGCCCCTACCCTATCTACTCCTCTCTGGGGACAAGTTGGGGACTGAAGGTCACAGGGCAGTGACCAGGGCTGGACAGAGGCACTCTGTACTCATGTAGGATAGTACTGAGCTCCCAGAGAAAACCTGACACCCCTGTCTCCCCAAACAGTCACAACATGGGCCTTTTAAAACAGCAGCTTTAATGCCCCCCAGAATCAGCACCATGTCATCACAGGCTCGGGTCAAGGGGCGGGTCAGACACAGTCACATCTGCTCACTGCCCACAGCCACCCCCACATTGAGACATCTGCCAGGGAGGCAGGAGCCACAATGGGGGTTTGTTCACAGTGGGGAAGGCTGGGCCCACGGGACCAAGTCACTGAAATAACGGACACGCTCCTGCACGCTCACATGCACACAGGCCTCTAGCACCAAGGTGAGGACAGCAGGGTTCTGCTGATACACCGACTCCTCTGGGGGATGCTGAACTTCAGCTCATTATCTGGGCCTCAGCTCTGGACAGCACCTGGGTAGGGCAGGTTGGGAGCTGTCTTCAGCCATCTGACCTTACCCAACATGTAGGCCACTGAGAAGCACTGGGCAAAGGGTCAACGGGGCAGGGAGCTAGGGACACAAAGGGAGCAGGGGCTCTCACCTCAGAGGGGATCCTTACTCAGGTCTTTAAAGGAGGCAGCATGGAGGAGGACCATACTGGGACTCCACAGCTTCTCTATTCAGTTGTCTGGTCTGGGCATCTGTCCCAGGTCCCCCAGTCTGAGGGGCCTTCTGACCCAGGACCCTGACCCGGGACCTGGTCTGGGTAGGCTCAGTGCCCAGGCCCCTACTGGGGTGGGGGATACGCCCGTACCTGTTCCCTGGCTCTGGATCACTCGGGGTTGGCAGCGGCGCTCACAGGCCTCACGGGTCCCAAAACGGTTGGCATTCCCTCCACAGCCACCGTAGACAAAGGGGTGACAGGCCTCTGTGCCGTCTGCTACAGCCCGATGGTACCAGCGCAGGGTGTAGGCAGTACAAGAGCCCTCGTCCAGCGGAAGCAAGCAGGGGTCTGAGTCTGAGGTCAGTGGGGGTCAGGAGGTCAGTAGGGGTGGCAAGAGTCAGAGAGAGGCTGGGGGTCGGTGAGAGGTCAGCAGGGATCAGCTCTGCCTGCCCCTACCAGAATCCCTCTGGGCCCAGCCCTCATTCTCACCATCGCCATCCCAAGGAGCCTCAGGGGCCTGGTATTCCTCCACAGAATACTCAGAGTATTCATACTCGTCGTCCTCGGGGGGCACCCGGCCTGCACACACAAGGGGTGTGCTGTGAGCAGGGCCAGTGCTGGGCAAGGTTCGTGCTGCTCAACCCTGGCCCTCAGGGAGGGGCGAGCAGCACTGGTCTCCCATGTGTGTGCATGAGAGTGTTCATGCATGTGCCCTGCATGTGGACCCTGTGCATGTGGCACATGCCCTGCATGCATGAGCACCCCTGCATGTGTCTGTGCTCTACCCACACATGCCCCATGGGTCCAGCTGTCCTCACCTTCCTCCTCTGCATGAGAGACCCGAAGCACAGGCACACGGTGGAGCTGGGGGCCAGCGGTGTCTGCAGCATAACTAGAGAGGGGTCCTGGAGCAAGGAGCAGGGGCACAGGGCCCTGGGGTCATCATGGCAGCCACCCCAGGAAAGTCCCTGCTGAGAGGACCAGGTGATGGGCAGAGCAGGGCCTGGGGTGAAGAAAGTTCCAGGAGCAGAAAATACCAGAAAAATACTCACGTGATCCAGATGCGATAAACTGGCCCTGGCAGGCTGGAAGGGGAAGAGAGAGGCAGGGAGAGAGACAATGACAGAGAAAGCAAGAGACAAAGATGGAAACAGGCAGGGAGAGAGACGGGGAGAGACACACACAGCCGGGGTAGAGATATACAGAGACGGACAGCAGGAGAGAGTGACAGAGAGAAAGACAGAAGGAGAGAAAGGAAGAGAGAGACAGTGGGAAGCAGAGAGAGAGAGAGGGAGAGAGAAAGAGGAAGAAAGGCAGAGGAGAAACAGACAAAGAATGAAAGAGAAGTTGGGAACAGGTCAACAAAGGGCAAGAGAGAGAGGGCGAGAGAGAGACCGTCAGAAGCAGGCAGGCATGGAGACAGGGTGGAAGCAGTCGCAGACAGACAGAGATGGGAGGAGAAAGCCTCATTCTCTGATGCCTCCAGGGCCATCAGAGCCCCCCGACCCCATATCAGGCCCAGAGGGACCAGCTCTGCTCCCACCTCCACCCCTTCCACACATGGCCATACTGGGCATCCAGGAACACATTTCCATCTGCATTTGCCTATGTGTCTCCATTTGGGGAAGTCCTGTTAGCCTGTCTGTCCTGAAACACATGCGTATCCATCCATCTCCACCCATCTCCTTGACTGCTTGCCCCCGTAAGTTCTGGGGACCCTTCCTGCCTTTGTCTAGGGGTCCTGGGGTGGAGTGGGGATGGGACCCAAGAGACTCTGGGCTGGGCTCCACTCACCACAATGCTGACTCATCTCCTGACGCACAAAGGCCCGAATGTCATCCTCCTGGGAGCACAAGACCACAAGGATCATGAAGAGCCCATGGATCACGGGAAGGACAAAGGGCACATGATGCAGGGATCATGGAGGGGGAGCATTGAGTCAGGGGCCCAAGGCCCAGGGGGTCTGGGTGTTGGGTGCAGGAGGCAGGGCCCAGCCCACCCAGGCCCACACTCACTGTCAGCGCGGCTTCTCCCTTCTCACCACGAGGGCCAGTGGGTCCTGGCCGCCCCTGTGTGCAACGGATGGGACCAGGCTATGATCTCTGATCTCAAGGACACCAGAGGTCACCCCAATCTCTGACCCCAAGCCCAGGAATCCCCACTTACCTGCTCCCCTCTCTCTCCAGGGATCCCAGGGGCCCCAGGGGCACCCACCACACTCTCTCCAGGGGGACCTCGCTCACCCTGTCAGACAGAAGGACTGAGTGAGCAGGGTCAGAGGCAGTGGGGGTCAGAAGTAGGGTAAGTTGGGGATCATAGGTTCAGAGGTTGTGGCAGGGATATTGAGGGAAGGGTTGCAAGGTCAGAGATCAATAAGATTAGAAGGGACAGGGGGGTTCAGGCATCAGGAGTCAGAGTCAGGGTCCCTCACCTTCTGGCCCTGAAGTCCTTCAGGGCCTTTGGGACCAACACTGCCAGGGGACCCCGGTGGACCACTAGAGCCATCATTGCCCCTGGGACCTGGGAAGCCCCCAATTCCTGGGGGCCCCTGGGGAGAGACAGATCAGAGTCAATGATCAGAGTCCCCCAAAATGGATGCACTTCCAGAGAGCACAATCCCCGCAGTTCACCATGACCTTGGCCTCAACTTACCCGCTCCCCTTTCTCACCCTGGTCACCCTTGGGTCCTGGTTGCCCATCAAAGCCTCGGTCACCCTGGGAACAGAAAGAAGCATGAGAGACCCTTTACCCTGGCCTTCCTCAGCCCAACCGCCACGAGCGCCATGGTCCAATGGCCACAACCTTCCGTGACCTGAGCACTTGTGACCCTACCAGCTTGGGGACCCTCAATCTGCCATGAGCCCCATGACCTCAACCCCACTGTAACATCCTTTGCTCTGACTCCACCCATTTCCCTTACAATGACACTCCAACCTCCCCCACTGACCCCACCCACCGTAACTCCTTAGCTCTGATGCACATGTCCCCTCCGCTCCACCTCCCATCCCTTAATCCTAAATTCCCACTGTGACCCCAACCCACCCTGAAATCTCAAGACCAGCCCCACTCCACCCCCCAATGTCCCAACCTTCCACAACCTTCCCTGATGCAAAACCCTCATGGCCCTACCATGACCTTCCCTATCCCATCCTGACCCCCCAATGTCCACTGTTGAGAGACGCCATACCTTGGGACCAATCAGGCCCTCCTTTCCAGGGGCCCCCGACAGGCCCGGCACACCTGGCTCTCCCTGGAGAAGAGAAAACATGAGCTGGGCCCTGGCCCACCCGTCCTCTCCCCGTTCTGGGTGTGCCCCACACTCACCATATCTCCCTTGTGTCCTGCCAGCCCAGGGCGCCCAGGGGGACCAGCTTCTCCCTGCAGGCATCAGGTGGAGGAGTCAGCCTTAGGCCCAGTCCCCCCAGCCACCCACATCCCCTGTCTCCTCTGTACCTTATCTCCCTTCTCTCCGTCGAGGCCACAGGCTCCCTTAACCCCCCGTTCTCCCTGAGGGAAAAAAGCAGATGGAAAAATGACTTCCAGATACCTCACCCTATCACCCCTTGATCCTGAAACCCCTCTCCAAACGGGCCTCAGACACTCTAACCTCTGACCTTCCAACCTCCAACCAACACCCCACATCAACCCTGGATACCCCAACATCTGACCCCAGATACCTCACCCTCCAACATCAGGCCTCCTGACCAGGAAAAAATACTCAGTTCCCTTCCCACCTTGAGGCCCCGGGGACCCGTGAAGCCAACATCTCCTTTGTCTCCTCGGACACCAGGGGCTCCATCCTTTCCTGGGGATCCCTGGGGGGAGAGGGGTCAATATGAAGTCAGGGGAGATCAGTGAGCAATCAAAGGGAATCACTCTGGATGTAACGGATTGGGAACATCATGGGGGTGAGAGTCACCATTGGAGGCCAGAGTCACTGGAAGGTCAGGGTTTTCCAAGGGGACAAGAGTCACCATGGGCAGGGGGTCACCATGTGGGTGGAACCATCATAGGGGTTACTGTGAAGGTAGGGGGCCCTGGGCAACATGAGGACACTATGAAAGCACTGGGTCACTATAATGTCAAGGGTCACCAAATGGGGATGGGGGCCCTGTGGGAGCAGGGGCATCTTACCGGGTCACCAGGGATCCCTGCAGCACCGGGCTCACCCTGTGGGAAACACAGATGGGGGAGGGAGGCCCCCCAATGTGACTGTCCCCCATGCTGGCCTATCTGCTGCACGTGAGGCCACTCGGTGACTCTGTGGCCAGGGCCCAGGCTGCACACAGATCCCATGTGAACACACACATGGCCAACAGTGAGGGAGGTTGGAAACTCCCCAACGCTCAGAGGACACCCATGGGACAGGTGTGTGTGACGTGTGGCTCTGGGTCTGTGCCTGGGGCAGGGCTTGCCTTGGATCCCGTGAGTCCACGCACTCCCAGCAACCCGGCTGAGCCCTTGTCACCAGGCTCTCCCTTGGCACCCTGTGGGAGTGACCAGAGAGGGACACAATCAGGAACAGACCAGGCTGGAGGCTTGGAGTATGACTGGAACTACCAACGGGGGCAGAGCTTGCCAGTGCCCCTCCCCACCACCACCCCCAGTAGCCCCATCCCTTCCAGCCCACACCATAGCAGGTGGAGCTGGGGGCTGTGCCCCATGGAGTGGCTTGTTTCTCACCCCAGGTCTCCCAGATTCCTGCCCCTCCCGCTAACCATTGGGCCCCTAAACCTACCTGGAGTACCCCTAACACCCGAGGATCCCCCTTCCTGTTCCCAGCGGGCCTCTCATAGAGCCACAGTCCACAGAGCTCCCCTTGTGACCTCACATTGAGGCCTTTGAGCCCCCTGTAGAGCCCCCATCCTCTCAGCCTCCCCATAGAGTTGCTACAGCCTACAGAACCCTTTCCCCTCTGACCTCCAGAAAGTCCCCCTCCCATCCTCCCTTCCTGTCCTCACAGACCTGCCATGGAACCCCCACAGCCCCAGGACCCCCTTGCTGACCCTACATGGTACCACCCAAGCTCCCATGGGGCCCCCTCTTTCCCTCATAGAACCTCCATAGAGACCCCGCAGCCCGCAGCACCCCCTCCCGACGCATATAGAGTACCCCACCCTCTCTCCCATACCTTCTCTCCAGGGTTCCCAATATCTCCCCGAGGTCCTTTGTCACCATCTGTGCCCCGAGGCCCTCGTTCACCCTGGGTCAGGGGTCAGAAGTCAGGGTCAGGGGCTAGAGTCCCTGAGTTTGAGCTCTCAGATCCCCTGGCCAAGCCCCCATAGGAGCCCCTCCCACACACAAGGGAGACCCAGTCTGCACATGGGCCAGACCCACTCACCATGTCCCCCTTGGCACCCTGTGGCCCCGGAGGCCCCACAGCCATGGCTGAGTCGCCCTGAGTGGACAAGGGGGCAGTCAGAGGAGTCGGAACACTCTTAGTCCCCTGTCCTGCCCTCCTCCATGCCCGCACTCACCTTGTCACCCTTTAGTCCTGCGGTCCCAGCATCACCCTATTGGGTGGAACAGTGTGAGTCTCACCCAAAGGGAGGAGTCCCAAGTCCTAATTACAAGAGCTATCCCCACCCCCACTTACCCCAGAAGCTGTTTCCCCATGTCCTTACCTTCTCCCCACGCTCCCCCCGGCTGCCCGGAGGGCCCTGTATGAGAGAAGAAGACTGTGAGGTATGGAAATTTGGGGAGACTAGTAGAGAGACAGCTCAAGGGGCAGGGGAGGACCAAGGGGGGCCCAGGGGAATAGGGGAGACAAAGGACTAGAGAGTAGACAAGGAGAACCAGAGAGCTGTGGAGAGTGTCCCAAGGGCACAGAGGGCACAGGCAAGGGACTGAAGTCACATCACTGGCACTTTCCACAAGGGGACCCACCGTGAGTCCTCTGGGTCCCTCCTGGCCAGGGCGGCCATCTTCACCCTGGATGGTGCCATTAAGTTCATTGATTTTAAGTTGGAAATTAGAGGCAAGAACCACAATAAAGGGAGCCCTGAGGTGGCTCCCTGCAATAGGCCGTGACCACAGAGCAGGACATACGTACCCGAACGCCTGGCTCCCCACGCTCGCCGCGGGCCCCAGGCAGCCCTACTCCAGGGTTTCCCTGGAGATCAACAGGGCACCAGGGATAAGTGAGGGGAGTCAGTGGGGGACAGAGGTCAGTGGAGGTGGAGGGGGCGACAGGGGTCAGTGGAGGTTGAAGGGGGTGACAGGGGACAGTGGAGGTTGAACAGGGATCAGGGGTCAGTGGAGGTTGGAGGGGGTGATGGGGTACAGGAGAAGGCGTCAGCTTTGCCCCATCTACCTTGTCTCCTTTGAGTCCAGAGGCCCCAGGTGCTCCCTGTGGGCAGAGTGAGGTGAGGGTCCCATGCCCCTCAAAGGCGCACACACATACCCAGCCACAAAGTGACATAGTCCCCAGCATAAGTCCTCATGTGGACAGACTCCAACACACAGGAATCAGATACAGGGGATGTTGGGGCACTTCTACTCACCGCTGACCCTGGTGGTCCAGGTGGCCCCAAAGGACCTGGCGCTCCCTCTCTCCCTGGGAGGCCTGCCAGACCCTACCAGAAAAACAAGGCAAGAGAGGCAAAGGGTGACTTGGGAACTTCCTCCCCCTCTGCTCCGCCAAGACTGGGATCCCCCGAGGTAGGGCCTGGGCCCCCTTCTCTTCCTCACCCACTACTGGATTCAGAGGTCCAGAAGTCACCAAGTCCCCACATGCTGCTCTCAGCACCCTTACCCGCTCTCCGCTGGGGCCTGGCTGACCCATCTCTCCTCGAGGGCCTGTCTGACCAGGGAACCCGACAACACCAGGAGCACCAAGGGGTCCAGGGGGGCCCAAGTCTCCCTGGAACAGAGATAGCAAAGGGAGGAGTGGTCCCAGCAGGACCCCTTCCCAGGACTAGGCTCAGAATGCCCTCCCCACCTCCAGGGGCCTCCCTGCTGGCTGCCCCCACCACTGGGGATGGGGTATTGACTTACCTTCAGACCAGGAGGACCAACTGGCCCAGGGGGGCCCTGGACCCCGACTCCTGGATCACCCTTCAAGGGAAAGGGGGGTCAGATCAGGCTCAAGGAGTCTCAGGACCGTGACCCTCAGCAGGGATACTTTAGAGCACACATACCTTGTGACCCTTGAGTCCTGGAGCCCCTTTCTGACCCTAAAAAATCAAAGTAAACAGCTTTGAGGGTAGGAACATGAACCCAGAGCTGAGACATTGCCCAAAAATATTCCCAGGGGAGCTCAGATGTGACCAAGGATTGGCTCCTGGAGCTCAGAGGTGACCATGGACTCATGAGGGTACAACAGGGAAGCTCAGATGTGATCACAGATATGGGGGGGTTCAGGTGTGACCACAGACACATGGAGCTCACACGTGAGCATAGATATATGGGACTGCAGACGTGAGGGCAGATCCATGGGAGCTCAGACAGGAGCAGGAACTTAGACACATCCATCTCAGGGAGCTTAGACATGACCACAGACACAAACTCTGATACACAGAGCGTAGATGGGGCAGAGGAGAGGGGCAGCGTAGACACATGACGAAGGAGAGGCCCACAAGAACCCCAACACGTCCTGAGACCTGGGAGATCAGAGAGGAGCACACGTGTATGCTCAGACACAGTGAGGAGCAGAAGACCTAGGAGAGGCACACAGAAGCAAAGACGGGGCCCTGAGCCCTGGGAGTGCGGAGACCAGGAGGCATGACCCCTGTGTGCTCCTGGGAGCAAGATCCTGAATGCTGGAACATGTGGCCAGACTCAGGTCAGGACTTCAGACATGTGCACAGGCCCAGGAATGGTCCCTTATGTCGGTGACTGCATTCCTGACCCAGGCTCAGACTGGCCCAGACCCCAGACTCACATCTTCCCCAGGGTCTCCAGGCTCCCCTGCACGGCCAGCTTCACCCTGCACAGAAAGGGTGGTGAGGGCGTCTGGCCACCCAACCTGACCCCTCCCTGCCCAGCTCTCGGGCCCTGGGGCCAGGCCCATCTCACCTTCTCGCCCCGTGGCCCTGGCAGTCCTCGGTCACCTTTGGCTCCCTGTAGAGACAGGCATCAAGAGACAACATAGGCATCGGAGTCACAGACAGATGAGACTCAAGGAGGGAGGCCTGAGGCCCGGGGTCAAATGGGGCATATTATGGAAGCTGAGGGAGATGAGGGTGGGTGAACTTTGTTGTTGGAGGTTCCACACTCACCGGCTCTCCCACCAGGTCTCCAGCAAGGCCTCCAGGGGCTCCCTGACAAGGGAGAGGGGTCAGTGGGATTCCTTGGCCCTCACCACTCAGCCCCTCCTCCCAGGCCTCCCACACACTCACCTTCTCTCCCTTTGCTCCAGGGGACCCAACCACAGCCTGTGGGGAATGCCTGGTAAGTTACCTGGCCTCCTGCCTTCTGCCCACACCCGCCCTGTGGCCTGGATGGGAAGTGCCAACTAGGCTTTGGGGGGTGGGGCGGGTAGAGGAGCTGGTGCAGAGGGTGGGGTCAAAGATCACCTGTCCAGGCGTCCCCATGGGTCCAGGCTCTCCTTTAGGTCCGACAGGGCCAGGCAGACCTGGTGATCCCTGTGGCAGAGCAGCATAAAGAACTCAGTGCTTCTCCACCATGCTGTGCCTGCTGCCCAGCCCTCCTCATCCTCCTGGCACATGACTAGGCACAGGGCCCCGTCACAGGCCTGCAGGAAGCTCCCCCCGAAACACACACCGGCACACCAGGGGCTCCTCTGTCTCCATCTTTTCCACTGGCACCATCACGACCTGGGGCTCCCGGCTTCCCTGTCTCCCCCTAAGAGGGAGGAGCTCAGTCAGGGGCCTGCCCGCTGACTCCTGACCCCTGGAGCCCAGCCCTGACCTCCAGGACTCACCACTTGTCCAGGCAAACCTGGCGCCCCCTGAGGACCCTGAGGGAGACAAGTCAGATGTGAAGGTCCGGGACATGGGATGACATGAGACCCAGAAGGCAGGGACACGGTGTCCTTGCAGAGGCCACAGGGAAGTCACTCACCACAAGGCCTGAAGGGCCAGGCGGGCCAGGAAGTCCCACAGCTCCAGTAGGTCCAGGCAGGCCCTTGGGGAAGAAGAAGTTCAGGGCAGTGCCAACACTACCCAGCTCCCTGTGACTCTACCCCATGAGCTGGGCCACTCACCCTTCCTGGTAGTCCTGTCTCTCCAGGCTCCCCCTGCCAAAAACCAAGAGACCACATGACCCCACAGTTGGACGAGAGGCTCCTCAGCCCCGGTCCACAAGCAGAGCCCACATGGACGGGGCACCTTGGTGCTCAGCCTCATTGCAGGGCAATGACATCCCAGGAGGCTGGCAGATGTTCTTCTGGTGCAAACAGGCTCCTCTGAGCCTCCTCCTCCTTCCAGCCACACACCTGCACACGCCTATACTCACCTTCAGGCCAGAAGGTCCCTGGGGTCCCGCGGGGCCAGCGAGACCCTAGAGAAAAGTGTCAAGGGCAGGGGACAAGGGTCAGAGTTATCCACCTGGGCTCAGGGATTAACACAAACAAGGCTTGGCTCATCAGTGGGGAGCGATGCTTGCTCTACCCACCCCAGGTGGTGCTCCACCCATCACTTACCGGGGCACCAGATGGTCCAGGGTCTCCACGGCCACCCTGTAGGAGAGAGAAAAAAGTCTGATGAGGAAGATCCAGTCTCATCCCACCAGGGAAACTGGGGCAGTACTGCCCATTTTGGGGGTCGGGCACAGATGGGGGTGTGAGGGGTGAGGATTCTGGGGTACTCACCTCTGGGCCAGGGGCCCCCCTCAGACCTTGCAGACCCTAGATAGAGAAGGGGGCTGCTGAGCCTCAATCTGGGCCTCCCTTGGGCCTGTTCCTGCCTTCTGGAGGCCTTTTCCTGGGGCAACCACTTTCGCACCCCTAGCCCCACAGGCACAGATCACCCCATACCCATGGACTGCCTCTCATGGGTTTCTACACTCACTCCTGGGCACACAGGCACAACTCGCCTGTCACTGGTCACTGGTGACATGTGCATACAGCAGCCAGCATACAGCAGAGGGCAGCTGTCCCTCAGAACCCATGCCAGGTTGTTCCTGGCACCACTCACCGGCTTCCCTTCAGGCCCAGCCACACCGCGCTCTCCTGGTAGACCCTGGAGAGAGCCAGGTTAAGGCCACAGTGTCCTTGTTCCCCCAGCCCAGCTTCCCCCAGACAGTCCCAGGCAGTACAGACTCCAGTCCAGACAACACAAGTAAGGGCCATGTGCTTGCACACATGTGGCCCGTGGGGCAAGGACTCACCGGGCTGCCATCACGACCCCTCTGTCCAGGCTCTCCCTGGTCTCCCTTGATGCCTGGCATACCCTACAAATGGAATGCGGTGCCCTGAGCCCCCAATAACTGCCACGTGCCCACATATACACTACCCCCAGAATGTTCCCATAGAGGAGGGGAAACCTGGTGGGGTGGGAGGCCTCACCCTGTCTCCTTTGGGGCCTCGTTCGCCGTCACTGCCTGGCTCCCCCTGTGGGGACAATACGTCAAGCCAGGCCTCGGTACCATGGCAGGGGATAGCCCCCAGGTTGATCCCACACACTGACCTTAGCTCCCTTGAGTCCAGGGGGTCCTTGTTCTCCAAACAGTCCAGGACCTGTCTCGTCCACGGCCACCTACAAGCACAAGGTCACAGGGTAGAGATGTGTCTGTCACAGAGGCATGGAGGGGTCATCCAGATCACAGGGTCCCAGAGGGTTGTAGGGTCAGAGACACCACATGGAGTTTCTGGGGCTCAAGCTAATGGTGGCCTCCTGGTGACAGCAGTCACAGGCCTAGGGCAGGGCTGGGGTGATCACCTTGGGGCCAGGAGGGCCGGGGGGTCCAGGGAAGCCAGGAGGGCCATCTCTGCCCTGCAGAAAAGAAGGAAATGGGGTGGCTGCCCCAGCAGGGCCCCCAGGCAGGCCCGCCCCATGCAGCTCCATCCCAGCTCACCTGTTCTCCACGTTCTCCTTTCTCTCCCCGTTCTCCCTGAAGTGCAAACAGTAGGGTGGGGAGTCCAGCTCCTCCTGACCCCACTTCCCTGGCTCACCCAGCCAGCCCCCAGGCTCACCCTCTCTCCTGGCCTTCCTGCCTCCCCCACACTCCCAGCCGGGCCTGGGAGCCCAGGAATACCAGGCTTTCCAGGCTCCCCGGCAAGACCAGGAGGTCCAGGGGGGCCCCTCTCTCCAAGGGCCAGGCCAGGTGGCCCCTGAGGGCCGGGGTCTCCATGATCTCCCTTCGGCCCGCGGTCTCCAGAAAAGCCGATAGGGCCCTGGAGGAGCAGAAGAGTGAATGCTGTTGGCTGTACAACCACACCCTCCACAGGGCACCCCCGACTGAGCAGCCAAAACATACCTCCTTGCCTGGGGGGCCCCGTTCGCCTGGCTCCCCCTTGGGGCCGCGACGCCGTTCAGGTACAGGCAGAAAGCTGCCGGAGCTCTCATCCCAGGTCTCCACAATCTCCCGCAGGGCAGACGTCTGAGTGAGAGTGAGGGGTCAGAGGAACAGGGCCCGTTACTGCAGCCACCCATGCCCTAGCCCGGCCCTGCAGGCACTACTCGCGCCGTGGGGCCTCCACCAGCTCCCACACCCATCCCCCAAACAACCTACCTTGATGCCAATATTTTCCAGCAACCGCTCCACATTCTGGGGATACAAGCTAGGTGAGGGGCTGCCAGCAGAGAAGGCCCTGCCTCTGCCCCACACTGCCCCCAGAAACAGCCTCCATGCCCTCTTCCCCAGGCCTCATGCCCAGAGGACTCTTTAGCCCTTGGTTGAGGCAGCTTGAGCCACTGGGAGCCCCTCCCTGGCATGTCCCCATTGCCCACATTACTGAGTGTAGGTTACAGGAATCCCAATAAGGCAGGGGGCCAAGCCCAGAATCCGTGGGGCCTCACGGCAAGGGGAAGGGAATAGAGAGGTGGCCCCTAAAGGCAGGCAAATAAAAGTCAAGGACCTGGCTCAAAGATTCACTCACCGCCACACTCCCAGGTTCTCCTCTCAGGCCACGCTCTCCGGGGAGGCCCTAGGGACACCAAGAGAAAAGCTGCTGGACCCAGTTTGTGGGGTGTGTGTGTGCATATGTGGGTACTATGGCTACTTGGGCATGTGAAAAAGGTGGGAGCCTCACCTGTTCCCCTTTGGGTCCACTCTCCCCACGGTCACCCTGAGAACAAAGAACCATCAGGTGGAGGAAATGCCCCAGCCCTGGCCAGCCCCTCACCATACCCCCTCCCCAACACATGCACACTCACCTTGGGGCCCACACTTCCTGGAACACCTGGAAAACCCTGATATATGACAGAACACAAAGGGGTCACATAGGATCACAGCATCCCAGAAGGGTGTCCGGTGCAAACATTTTGCTGTTCCCTGTTGCTCCCAAGTCCTAGAACTACGCTAGCCACTCACCTGGCTGGAAGGGCCAATCTGCCCTGGGAGGCCTGGGGGGCCCTGGAGTCCAGGGCTACCAGGAGCTCCACGCTCACCCTTGGGGCCATCGTCACCCTGTGGAGGATTCAACCTGAGACTCCAGAAAGGAGTAGAGCCATATATCACAGGGTCAGGGTCAGAGGTCAGAGGTTGCAGAAGACTCCAGCACTCACTTGTCTCCCAGGGGCTCCTGAATCTCCCTTCTCTCCCTAAGGAAGACAAGGGTGCTTCAGACATGGCCCCAATCTGAGGCTAGAGCAGACTCCCAGTGAGGTGCTTTACCTTCCTCCCGTCTTCTCCAGGGTCCCCAGGCTCTCCCTGCGGACAGAGGACTCACATCAGCCCAGACATTCACTGGCGTCTGGCTTCAGAGACTGTCTTGACCGTATGTGCCTGTAGCTCCAAGCCTGTGTGTGTCCTGGAGTGTAGCCTGTGACTGTCTGAGTGAGCTGTTGCACGTCTGAGGGTGTGCCTGCGTGCGTCTGCTCACCTCCACACATGACTGCACATGTCCTCCTGTCTCTGGCTTTCTTTTTTTTTTAAATAATTTTATTTGTTTATTTATTTTTCCCCCAAAGCCCCAGTAGATAGTTGTATGGCATAGCTGCACATCCTTCTAGTTGCTGTATGTGGGACGTGGCCTCAGCATGGCCAGAGAAGCAGTACGTCAGTGTGCACCCAGGATCTGAACCCGGGCCACCAGCAGCAGAGCGCGTGCACTTAACCGCTAAGCCACGGGGCCGGCCCCTGTCTCTGGCTTTCTAGATATAACTCCACATCAATGCATCTCTGGGTTGGTGAGTGTCCACATGTCCTGGGTGTGTGTGTATTAGCATGTGCACTTGTGCATGGCTCTGTGTGTCCCGGTAGGTGACACTTGGTAGGTGTCTCAGTCTGTCTGCACATCTTGACCTGTGTCTGCATGTGGGCATGGGCTTATACATGTATACACAGGGCGGACGTGTCTGCATGACCCTGGTGCCTTGAAAATTGTCTGTGCATCTTCGTATCTGTCTGTAAGTCTTGTGTGTATCTCAATATGTGTGGCCATATGTATGTGAGTGACTGTGGATATACATGCATGTGTCAGTGTGTCCCAGCATGTGTCACAGGTCAGAGCCTTGGATGTGCGTCTCATCAGGTCTCAACACAGGTCCACATGTGGCCCTGGGTCCATGTCTTAGCATGTATCTGAGGCTGGGTGGAGGTGTTTGTGTGTCAGCATGTCTCCAAGTGTCCCTGAATGTGGCTTCACACCAGTGTGTCTGCACCTCTCAATCTGTGTCCATGGCTCTTCATCTGTGCCTGTGGCTATGGGTTATTTTAACAGGTGGCCCATCTGGCACAAGTCAGCATGTCCACCTAACTCACTGTGTCTGCGAGGCTGCCTGTGGGTGCACGTGGACGTGTATTTCAGGATGTATCTGCATGTCTGGGTTAGGTCCATGGCTGTTGGCATGTCTTGGCATGTGTCTGCATGCGTGCCCCATATGTATCTGCACATCTGGGCTGTGGACATTTGCCGGTGTTTCTCAGTGGTTTGCCGTGTCTGCCCTGGACACTCACGTTTTTCCCATTCAGGCCAGGCTTGCCATCCTCGCCTGGCTTTCCCTGTGGGAACAGATCATCACTCAGAAGTCAGGGCTGGGGTGAGGGCAGTAAGAGGGCAAAAGAGTACCATGAAAGCCGAGACTCACCAGTGCTCCAGGGGGGCCAGGGAGGCCAGGGGGGCCCTGTTCTCCTCGGAGGCCCGGAAGCCCCTGGAAAAAGTCTTTGCTAGGATTGAGAGGGCCACTGACATATCCCCTGGGACACATCTGTGGACTGGGAAGACCCCACTAAGATCCTCCTCCAGTGTAGAGACCCCCAGAATTGGGAGGTGCCACTGAGATCCCCTGAGGCAGAGACCCCATGGGTTAGGAGGACCCCTGCTGAAACTCCCAAGGGAATAACCCCCAGGACTTGGGGACCTATTAAGGCCCCCAAGGCAGAGAAGGCCAGAAAGTAGGACTCTACTAAAACCTGCCCGCCAAGGACTGGGACCCCTGCCAAGGACAGGGCTGGGCCAACTCCTTCTATTCCCATTGATGCTGTGACTATGACGAGCTGCCTGCAGTTTACGCTGGACCCCTGAGCCATCCTCCACCCTAACGTCTCCCCTTACTTACGTCTCTCCCTGGGTCCCCAGCTTTGCCTGCAGCACCCTGAGGAGAGACTCAAAGTCAGGGAGTCCGCAGTGGTCATGGATCAGGGGCACCGCCCGCTGACAGAGCCACTAGTTCCCGTGAACCCAAGGCCTGCAAGGCAGTAACATCCCCCACCCAGCAGGGTTCCAGAAGACACAGATAACCCACCTGGCCCTAGAGCTCAAGACCAAGAAGACCCAGGTGAGACTGGGGTCATGTGAAGGGGCAAGGGAAGGGGCGTGACCAGGCAGTGACCACCATGACTCACTTGCAGCCCAGGGGGGCCAGGAGCTCCTGGTTTCCCATCTAGCCCACTGCGGCCATCCAGACCAGGGGGGCCCCGGTCACCCTGAGGAAACAGAGTGGTAAGAGGCCTCAAAGGATGAGATGGATCTGAGAGCCCAGGTTCACAGTCGAAAAACCTCTGTACCCTCTCACCTTTTCTCCTGCTGGGCCTCGGACCCCTGGGTCCCCCTGGAGGGAACAAGCTCAGTGAGAGGTGAAGGCAAGATGAGATTTGACTGAAGGGGCAAAGTGCATCACTCACCTGTGGGCCTGGGGGCCCCCGAAGTCCAGCGAGGCCCTGAGGAGGGGAGGAGGAAGAAATCAGAGCAGGCTTTCCCAGGCCCACACCTCCCCACGGGACCAACCACACTCACCCTCTCCCCAGAGGCTCCAGGGGGGCCGGGGTCACCCTTGGGTCCTCGAGGACCCTCCTGCCCACGGTCCCCAGGCTCTCCCTGTGGCAGAGACAAGCTTGTTGAGGGAACAGCAGTGGGGCCACAGGCATGCCCAAGGCAGAACCTGTCCTGGGGGCACAGGGGTGCCTTCCTCTGCTCACAGCTTCGCTCTACCCGCAGGCCCTGATACCTTCTCTCTGGCTCCAAGTCCTGTGTCTACCTGTTGTGGGGAATGACCAGTAAGAAGAATGATCCAATGAGGGGAAGTGGAGTTAGTGAGGGGAGATGGGGCCAATGGGGGCTATAGGATCAGTGAAGATATCAGGGGGCAGTGGGGGAAGTGGGAATCAGTGGAAGGGATGAGGGGACACAGTGTAGAGCCAACAGGGGTAGGTAAGGGAGAAGATAGGGGACCAGACCCAGCTCAACCATTACCGGCCGTCCAGGGGGTCCTGGGGGACCCTGGGAAAGGAAATAATTATAGTCAACAGAAGCCCTGAGGTCCCAGGGCATGGCTCAGGTTTGCCCCAGGTTCAACTCTGCTCCCAGATTCCCTGCAGCACCCCAATGCCAACCCCTAGAAGGCAGGTCAGGCCTGAGGTGGCCATCAGTGCTCCCCACCTTGACCTCCATGCCCCTTAGGTGGGCGCCAACCAGATCAAGCACCGTAAATCTCCATCCCTCCCGAGCCCAGAACACCAGCACTACTCACTGGCTCCCCACGGTCACCCTTGGGTCCAGGTGGTCCAGGGCTTCCCTGCAGAAAGTCAGAGGGTCAGGGTCACTGAGGATAGGCAGAAGTTTCAGGGAGCTTTGGAAGCACCCTAAGGACTCCTGGGAATTCTGGTGGCCTTTAGGGTTGTGATGAAGGGGTCACAGGAAATGAGGATTGTGAGGGTTTGGCATTGCAGGGTTGGGGTAGCAGGATCAGGAGTTGGGAATTGGTTGTTGGGGGTTGAAGTTGAGGTAAGGGTCAGGGGTCATAGGTTAGGACTCACATTTCGTCCATCTTCTCCAGGATCTCCCTGGTCTCCCTTCTCACCCACAGGCCCCCGAGCTCCAGGTACCCCCTGGGAAGAGCAGATGGTCTGAGATTTTGCAGGTTCCCCTGTGATCCCTATACTGCCCCAGGTTCCCCATCACCCTGAAAACCAAGCCAGAGTTTCCCATCACCACAGGCCTCCCTGCACGATCTCCCATCACCTCCCTCCAGCCTTCCTGTCACCCTTTCTCCCCCTCAGAGTCTCCTATCACCTTCATGCCCACCTCCTATAGGTTTTCCCATCACCCCCTACTTCTCCCGGCCAAGCCTCACCCGAAGGCCACGCTCGCCAGCTTTTCCAGGCAAACCTGGGTCACCCTGGTGATGGAGAGAAAGCCAAGTTGAGCAGGTGAGTTAGGCTCAAACTAACTCAGGGAGTGGGGGCTGAAAAGGGCCTGGGCACCAACTGGACAGGAGGCAGGGGCATGGACTGGATGACCTGGTGGAGCCCCCAGCCCACCAGGATCATAGTTCAAGGGTAAAAGATCAGAAACCACAGTGGAAAGGAGTCTCACCGGGGGGCCCTCATCACCTTTCTCTCCAACTTCACCCTGTGAGACATGAGAGTCAGCTCTGGTCCCAAGACCTCCAGTGAGGCTGGCCACACCCTACTCCCCTCTCCCCTGGGACTCCTGGAATCCAGCCCTCTTACGTCTCGTCCTCGGGGGCCGACAGGTCCTGGGGGGCCAGGCCGCCCAGGGTCTCCCTTCTCTCCAGGAGCCCCTGAGTCACCCTGTGGAGGAGGCAAGAGTGAGGCTGCACGTAGCAGCTAGCCCTTGAGGGAAGGTGACCCTAGAAATCTTGATGTTACCCAAGGTCACAGGTACTCACTGGGGATCCTGCTCTGCCAGTGAGGCCAATGGGACCCTGCAGGGTATGGGGAGGGGGAACAGGACTTAGTTGGGGCTCCCAGGCACCACCTCATCCCTTCTGTCACACTCCCCATCCCCACATTTATTTACCCTGAGTCCAGGGTCTCCTTTAGGGCCAGGGTCTCCAGGAAGAACCAAACCGGGTAGGCCCTGGCGGTGGAAGGATCAGAAGTCAGAGGGGCACGACCTTCACCTGCCCTACCCCCTAAACACTTTCCCTTCACTCACCTGCTCCCCGTTGACTCCAGGGGCTCCTCTGGGCCCAGGGGGCCCCACATCTCCCTGGAGGTGACAAAGACCATTAGCGCCAGCCCCAGGCTCCATGACCCCCACCACCCAGCAATCATGCCACAACCCTCATGACTTCCAGGGGCCTCCAGGCAGGCCCAGAGGCAGGCCCTATGACCTTGACCTCAACCCTGTAACAGCCTCCCTTCACTCTCACCAGACTTATATACTTACCTTCTCTCCTTTGGGTCCGGCACCAGCAGGTCCCTGAAAACAAATAGGACAGACACAGTTTGGCCCTTCCTGGGGATCATACAGCCTTGGTTGGGGTTGAGGTTATATAGAACTGGAAGTCGCAGAGCTCAGTCTGCCCAGAGGTCACAGGGTCACTGCTGGAAGCAGGGCAGAGGTTACGCAGAGCTCATGACCTGTATGGTAGTGATGGGGTCACAGGATCACAGCCAGGAGTCAGGAGGTGCGTTACCGCATAAGGAGAGTCACAGAACTCTGAGCCTACCCAGGGTCCCAAGGGTATGATGTCACAGCCTGGAACACGGGTTTACAGGTGGGTCACTGCTCAAGGGGCCACACAGTGCTCAGAGCCCCATCCTCCCTTTACTCACCCCTGCAGGGTCCCCAGGACGACCAGGCTCCCCCTGTGGAGAAAGGATAGGGACAGGGATAGGAGCCCAAGGTTCCAGTGTCCCACCTGCCAGCATCCCTGGCACCAGGGGGGACTGGCCCCAAGCCCATGACCCACCTTCTCTCCTCGGCGGCCAGTGGGTCCTGGTGGCCCCTGCATGTGGAGAAAGTGTGAGCTCAGGATGGGGAGGAACACATGAAAGCCCCCTCCTGGTGCCAGCACAGTCACAGACTCACTTCAGGACCCTCGGCTCCAGGACGTCCAGCAACTCCGGGCAGCCCCTGGGGAAGAGGAACAGAAATCCTGGTCCAGGTGGGTGGGGGCAGGGGATTATGGCAAACAAGGGCTAATTGGGGTGGGGGCTAGAGAGGGGTCACAGAAGATCAGGATTTAGGTCGGCAGAGGTCAAACTCGGGGATAGAAACCAGGTCAGTGGAAGTCAAGGTTCAGCAGGGTCAGAAAGCTAAAAGTGGGTCCCTGGGGTTGAGGGTTAGAGCCTGCATCAGCAGAGATCAGGAGTCATGTGAGGAGGGGTGGAGGGGCAGGGGCAGCGGAGATCAAGGGCGAGAAGTCAGAACCAAGAGGGGGCACAGAGCCCAGGTCAGCTGGCACTGGCATTGGGGTCAGTGGGCTCACCTGGGGTCCCACTGGGCCAGGGGATCCACGTTCACCCTGATGGAACAGAATGGGTCTGAGCTGAGTCTGGTCCCAGATCCTCCTAGGCCCTGAGAGCCCCCCAGGCTGCACTTACCTTCTTTCCAGTCTCACCCACAGCCCCTGTCAGTCCTCGGTCACCCTGAGGGGAAAGAGATAGGAGAGGGGCCTTGACTGTCAAACTCCAGACAAGGTGTTTCAAACTCCAACCCTCCCACCTCTGAAACCACAACCTCTGACCTGGAGGAAACCCTGATCTCCTGATCTTCCCATCCCACATAATCTTATAGGGGTCCCAGTGTGTCACCCCTCATACCCGACCCCTCCCAAAACGGCACTTACTTTGGGGCCAACGTTTCCAGGAGGTCCCCGTAGGCCCTGGAAGGGGTTCAGAGATTTGGGTTTGGGTATAAGGAGTAGAGGGTTGATGGCTGAGGGTCAGGGCTGAAGCTATGCCCACCACACTCAGAACCCCTGGCCCCTACACTCACCCGCTCACCGGGCATCCCAGGTTGTCCTGGGAGACCTGGGGCTCCATCTTCACAGTCACCCTGAAGGAGAAACAGATGTGTGGAAGACCCAGGGGAGGCCCTGCCCCCCAGCACCCAGAGCCCTCTGCCCCAGAACTAGGACATCAACAGGTCAGGTCTCCTACCTTTTCTCCTTTCTCTCCAGAGGGGCCAACTGGGCCTTGGGGTCCAGGGCTTCCAGGAAGACCCTAGGAGGAAGTGAGTAAAAAATGTGAGCCCCAAACTGTGAGGCCCAGCACGTACCCACTGCCCCTGTAGAGCCCTCAGCCCCTCCAGCCACATTCCTGAGCATGGTCCCCAGGGTCCCCAGCAAAGCCTCAAGACTCCCTCACCGGCAGCCCAGGCTCCCCTGGAGCAGTGGCACCATCACCTGGTCCAGGGGGGCCCTGGGAAAGAATAGCAGGTTAGGGGATGGCTAGCAGGATCCAGACCCCAAGCCACCCCCAGTGTACCTTGCCCCTCACTTACCCGTTCCCCACGATCACCTTTGTCACCCTAAAAGACAGAACATGACCCCATGACCCTGGACCACACCTCCACTCCCCAAGATAGCAGGAAGAATGAGGGTCACGGAATCAAATTGGATTACAAAAGTCATGGAGGAACTGAGGAGTCATGGGGGGGTCAGAGGGTCACACAGGTTCAGAACGACCAATAGGGGTTGTAGGGGTTCAAATGGGGTCCCCAGGTCACTGGATCACACGGAGGTGATGAGACCTTATGATGGTCATGCTGTCACCTTCACTGCTGTTCCAGGAAGTCCTGGGGGACCACGGGGTCCTGGGTCCCCCAATGGGCCACGAGATCCAGGGGGGCCCTAATGGACGAGACAAAGTATAAAGTACAACCCCATGGACCCCTACTCCCCCCACCCCATTGGTTCCCCCATCACACATCACTTGCCCCCACATACCCTAGAACTTACCGGAGGTCCAAGGTCGCCTTTCTGCCCAGGAAGCCCTGGGCCCTCACCTTCCCTGACTGGTCCAGGCTCTCCCTGCAGGGACAGAGAGCAGTGGGCGGGATTCAGGGTATGGGAGCCTTGAGGTGGGAGAAGCCCCTAGAGGTGCCCCAGCTAGTCCTTATCATGCCTTAAGCCCTGTATGGTGTCTGGCCTGGGGCAACCGTGCTCCTCCCTGGGACATCCTGGCTCCCTCCCTCTCCCCTTCACCTACCGGCTCCCCCTTCGGGCCTCGAGGCCCTCGTTCTCCCTAGGACAAAACATAGCAAAGGGTGATGCTTGGTCTCAGGTGCATCGCAGGGTGGGCCCCCATGGGCCAACACTGCCCCACCACCCCAGGTCCTCACCCTGCAGAAAGAACTTTGGGAAGACGCTGGGAAAGCAAAGAAGGGAGAACAACTTACCGGTTCTCCACGAGGGCCAGGCAACCCTGGGGAGCCCTGTAAATGAAGGCCAGAGTCAGACTAGTCAGACCACCCCACCACTCAAGCAAAGTGTCCCATCATATGACCTGCAAGGGCAAGGCTTGCTCACCTTTAGGCCAGGGGTTCCAGGAGTCCCAGGGCGGCCAGGGCTGCCTGGAGGCCCATCTGCCCCAGGAAAGCCCTAAGGAAGCAAAGAGGTCAGGGCAGGAAGGGACCCTCCCTCAGTGCCCCTGGTTTGTGGAGGAGCCCAGACTAGTCTTCATCTGGACTCCTTTACCCCACAGGCTGTTGTGGGTGGAGCAGTAGGGCAAAGAAGTGGCCCCTTCAAGCCAAATGGAGCCTAACCCCAGGCACAAGGGCAGTGATGAGGCGGAGGGCCTTCCCTGATTCTAGGACTTACACCTTCCACCCAGGCTCTCCAGGGGATCTCAAAACCCCACTGGCCCCTCTACTTCAGACCCTTCCCCAAAGTCTCTGGTGTGGCTTATAATGTCCACTTAGGCTTCTGGGAATACCCTGTGGTTCTAACTCCCCTTTTTCCTTCTCTCTTCTAAAAACCTTGAGGAAACATTGAGGAGTGTTTTAGGGGAACCTCAGTAGTCTCCACACTCACCCTCTCGCCCTTTGCAATGGTACTTCCAGGGAGCCCCTGGGGGCCAGGAACACCGATCCTCCCCTGAGAGGATACAGCAGGTGAGGAGGCTATACGCTAGTTAGGGCGCACAGCACAGGTGTGGGGAGGAACTCACCGGGAGGCCGGGGGGGCCGGGAGGCCCAGCTTGTCCCTTCAGGCCCTAGGAAGGGTGATCAGTGAGCCCTGTGCTGCCAACCTCCCCCTGCCCCACTGACCCCCAACCCATTCTCTACCCCTCATCAGGGCCACTCACCATCTCTCCAGGTTCCCCCTTCTGGCCCTGGGGAAAGACATGTTGGGCAAAGGTCAGAGTGGCTAGCTCCAGGGGTGGCCCTCACCCACCCTCTTAACCCCGGACATTTACCTTTGGACAATGCACCAAGCAAGGCTCTGGCTGTGGCTGTGGACACAGGGACTCCCTGAGTCTAGGCAGTTCCACCAAGAGCCCTCAGTTCCCCTCTTCTCCACCACCTAGCCCCCCAGAGGCCCCTTCCAAACCTGGGTGGCCAAAGCTGTCTGACACAGGGCTGTTGCTAGACTACTGACTGCCCGGTCCAAGCTTGGACCATCATCCATGGCGAAGAAAGTCTGGACAGGGTCCATGCCCGGCACCAAGCGACGCAGCTGCTCTGGGTCGGCTCCCGCCAGGCCCAGCATCATGGCTTTGAGCCCTGAGGAGGAGTCCAGCAGCCTGCATGACACCCTGCTGGGGCCAGCCCTATTCCCAGGCCCCATCCTTACCAGCCCTGCTCCTCACCAGCAGCCTGGGCCTCGCGGATAGGGTTGAAGATGTCACCTCTCAAGGGCTCATCCACTAGCAGAACCATCACCCCTGGCACATGCTGGCGGCGTCCGGGAGCATCTGGTGCCATCAGGTGTCTGTGAGCTGTGACCACGGCTATCCCTGGGAGAAAGGACATGTCAGAATCCAGGGGCACTGAGCTCCCAATGGGGCAGCCCCAAGAGTCCACGTCCTCTGCAGTCCCTACCCAGGTTGTTCCCACTCGGGTCCATGTAGGGGATGTTGCGGATCTTCTGCAAGATGATGCCAGGGTCATGGGAGCTGTTCAGCGGGAACAGTGGGGAGGGCCGGTGACTGTAGGACAGGAGGCCAACCTGGGGTCGGGAGAACACAGAGCCTGAGAAGGATGACAGAGCAGGGATGGGGGACATAGAACCTGGGGGTTGACATAGAGCCTGGGGTGTATGACTTAACCAGAACTATCAGGGGGTCAGCGGTGAATAGAGAGAATAGGTCAGTGGTAGAATAGGGAGCCAACCAGCAGGTGAGGCAATCTGGAGTCTGGGGAAGGGCTGGAAGAAAGCCTAGACTGATGGTGGGGAAGGGAAATGGTAGCTGGTGTGGAGCCTGGGGTGGGGAAGGGCAGGGATAGGTAGGGGTCTGGCTGCCTCTGGGGTCAAACCTGGACCGCCTGTGGCCCAAGAGGCCCAAGCGCAAACACCAGATGCTCCAGGGCTCGCTTCACAGCCTCTGCACGATGAGCATTGTCCCGAGTGGCATGCAGCAGGAACACCACATCCATCAGGCCATGGGGACACACTGCAGGAAGGGGGCTGGGTTACTAAAGCGGTCAGCCCATCTAGCTACCTTAGGTAGCTACCTTACCTAGCTACCTTAGCTACCTTAGGCCCCTCCCACTGTGCCCACTATACCTGGGTTCTGTGTGACAGAAGCCTCAGGACCCTGTATACCCTCCCGGACAGGTGTCAGGGAGAAAATGTAGGAGATGCCGGGCTCTAGTCCTGTCACCTGCTGGGAGCTCGAGATCCCCGGAAGTGTCTGTGAGGCCCCAAGCATTTCTGCAGAGGACAGAACTCAGTTAAACAAGAGGCCCTCCATGGAGCCCCAACTGCCAGCCCACCCCAACCCTCCTCTCCCCTTCACCTTGGCCAGGGCCTCTGAGTGGCCGCCAGGATAGGATGTAGCTGGACACCCCAGACACTGGGGTCCAGGCCAGAGTCACTGAGTCGACTGAGGTGGCCACCACACGCAGTTCAGTGCTTGGGACACGAGGTGACTCTGAAGGAGGAATCAAAGACCAGGGATCAGACTCTGTGTCCTGAGCACTCAGAGGGGAGACATCTAAGGAGATCCTGGGGCAGGTTCATCTCAGTGAAGAAAGTGTCACGGGAGGTCATGCTGGGATCATCTCAAGGTCAGGAGTGGTAGGGGAGCTACAGGAGGAGTCACTCAGGGTCATGGGATGCAGAAAATCAGGGTGGGTCATCAGTAGGGGGAAGAGCACACCAGTGTATGCAGTCACTTCCAGGGGGGGCCCTTCTCCAGCCGGCCCCAAGACGCTCAGCCACATGCGGTACGGGGTCGCCGGCTCCAGCCCGTCCAGCTCGTAGCTGCTGAGCTCGGGCCCCAGGACCCGAGACTGTTCCTGGCCACCTGGGACAGCTGGGAGGGTGGGGGTCAGAGGCGTGTGGGAGGATGCTACAGACCAGTATTAAGGGACCCACCCACCTTATTGACCCCCACGTACCTTACTGACGATGACCCCACCAGCCTCACTGATTGACCCTGGTGTTGGGTTCCACCCTCCTGATCGATCTTCCCCATTCTCACTGACTCTGCCCATTTTACTGCCCCTGCCCGACTGACCCCCATTGATCTCACTCACCAGACCCGATTGATGATCTCCCATACGGTCACTGATCCTGAAGATCCCCAATGACAGACGCTGCCCACTCACACTGACCTCGCCCACCTCACCAACCCCGCCCACAGCCCCGCCCCCACCGGTCCCTAAGTCCCTACCAGGGGCACCTCTCACCATCGGCTCGCCAACGCAGACGGAAGCCTTGTGCTCCGGGCACCGGCTGCCAGCGCAGGCTGAGCGAGTGCTTCCCTCTCTGCACTACGCGAAGGGTCTCCAGGGCTGGCGGAGCCTCCGGAGCTTGAGAAAAAGCGCAAGAATCAGGGAGGCTCCGCCCCTACTGGTCCCTGCGCCAATCCCAGACCAACGCTGGAACATGCCCCGCCCCCAACCGGCCCCTCTGACAACCTCAGACTTCATCCCTCCTACCCCCTCATACCCCATCCCAGAGGCTCACTACCAATCCCTGGTCCCTTTTCCAATCCCGAGCACAAACCCCGCCCCTACACCATCCAGGCCACCAATCCAAGGCTCGCCCCAGCCCAAGCTCCGCCTACGCGTGGTGACGACAATGGAGACAGGTGCGCCCTCACGGTCCCCTACAAGTGCAGTCACGCGCACGGAGTAGCTGACTCCCCCTTCGAGGCCACGTATTTCTGCGGAGTCTGTGTTTCCTGGAAGCATCTGGTGTCTTGTGGGGCCACCTGGCCAGGCGAGCATAGGGCAATAGTCAGGGGTGGGGGTGGCTAACCAGAGGGGACAATCCCAGCCAGGAAGGACAAGGTCGGTGTTAGGGAATCATACCCTCGCTCCGGCCCCAGGCCAGTCTGTAGGCTGTGGCTCCAGTGACCCCCACCCAGGTGACCCGCAGAACATCACTGGAAGCATTGAGGATCTGCAGCTTCGACACACTGCCCACAGGCTCAGGGTCTGGGGACAGAGGCAGGGTAAGGGGTCTGGGGCCACTGACTGACTGGCAGAGAACAGGGTGGCAGTGCAGACATGGTCAATAGAGGGAGGTCTGAGGGTCAGTGTGAGGTTAGTGTGGACAGGTCAGTGTAGGCAACCCCTGAGAGGGAGGAGGTCAGTGCCTTGCATTGGGCAGTGTAGAGCAGCCGGGGGGGTCACTGTGGGTGGACACTTAGTCAATGTGGAGTACGTCAGTGTGGGAAGAGGAGTCATGGAGCAGTGATGGAGTGGGCAGCTGGAGCAGTCAAGAATACAGAGCAGGGTGGGATAGCCAATGGGATGTGGTTGGCAGCTGGCCAGGGTCTACTCACCAGTCCTCACAACTACAGAAGCAGGGGTCCCATCCACACTAGCCACATGGGGCAACACGTGCACTGTGTACTCAGTATCTGGCTCCAGCCCATCCAGCTGAGCCACCGTGGCCTCCCCAGAAACCAACTGGGATTTCTCTGGGCCTGAGAGCAAGGATGGAGGCAGTTCCAAGACTAGCCACATTCTGCCCTCCGATGCCCCACCTAAACCCCTAAGAAACTCCCAGCTTCCATTCCACACACACCTGCCCCCCACGACCCTCCAAAACCTCTGGTCCCTTCCAAAACCACTGGTGCCCACCGTGGCCTGAGTGCCAGGAGATCCTGTATCCTGTGGCACCAGGAACCCTGTTCCAGGCGATGGTGACAGATGAGCTGCTGGTCTGAGTCACATGGACTGTCCTCACTGGGCCCAGTGTGTCTGAGGGGAGAGGCAGTGGAGAGTCTGATGAGGGAGGTATTGGCGGACCATCTAATAGGGGAAAGCTATGGGAGTCTAGCAGGAGGCAGAGATCTGATAGGGGAGGTAGTGAATAGGTCAGATAGGGGAAGGAGTGGGGGTTCTGACAGAGGGGAAAGTGGGAATCTGAGGTGGCAGGTGACAGGAATCTGAGAGACAAGAGAGTCTGACAGAGAAGGCAGTAGGGTTCTGATAGAGGTGTTAGGAGGCAGTGGGAGGGGGCCTGACAAAGGAGAAAGTGTAAGTTGAAGAGGAGAATCGGGTCCAGGAGAAAAGGCAGTAGGGGTCTGAGAGATGAGGTGGTGGAAATCCAAGGGCAAAGACAGTGGGGTCTTAGGGGAGAGGCATAGATACCTGAAGAAGGCGGAGGCTTAAGAGGGAGACTAAAGGGGGAAGCAGAGGCTCTGAGGGAGGAGGCAGTGGGAATCTGAAGGGGGAGACTGAAGTTTTGGGGAGAAGCAAGGGTCTGGGATGGGAGGCATGGGGGTCAGAAGGGGCTCTGGAGGCAGAGATCCAAGGGGCTGGGTGAGGCCCTGACCAGTTCGAGCCACGATGACCACAGGGGGGCCCTCCTCTCTCCCTCGCAGTGCTGACACAGCCAGCTGGTAGGAGGTTCCAGGCCGCAGCCCCATGATATCTGTGGCAGTAGATTCTGGGGGCAATGTCTGGCTTGACTCTGGACCTAGGGTCAGAGGGAAATGTTGGCATGGCTCCTGCTTACCCCCTTAGTCCCCCAGTCCTGATCGTTCCCCTCAGCAACCCTCCCACACACCCCACACTGACCATCGTCTGCCCTCCAGCTAATCCGAAATCCACTGGCTCCAGGAACAGGTCCCCAGGCCACCCTCACCCTCGTTGCATCTGATGCCACGACCCGCAGCCCTGGGATGGCAAGTGGGGTTTCTGGCTCTGAGGGTTAAAGACAGTGGTCAGGGGTCAACACCAGGACCAGAGTGATTCAGGCAGCTGTCTCCCAGAACCCTCCTGCAGTGCTCACCCCGGTGGACAGTGAGAACGCTGGCACTACCCTCACGGGTACCCACTCGAGCAGACACCCGCACAGTGTAGCTGAGCCCAGCCCGGATGTCATCCAAGTCGAAGGCTGTCTGACTCCCGGGAAGCACCAGGGTCCGCTCAACCCCTAAGGGAGAAGGCAGGGTAGGCGGGCAGGGGTCAGTGAGAGACAGGGATGTGGGACGACGGCAGTCAGTGACGGACAGGGATACAGGATGAAAATGGTCAGTGAGGGATGGGACATGGGATGAAAAGGGTGAGAGATGAGGATATGGGAAAAAAGGAGTCAGTGATGGAAGTGACATGGGATAACAGAGGCCAGTGATGAATGGGACACAGGATGATAGGGGTCAGTGGACAGGGACATGGGATGTAGGATGACAGAAGTCAGTAGACAGTGATGTGAGTTGACATGTCATTGATAGACAGTGATGTGGGGTGACAGGGGCCAGTATTGAATGGGGACATCAGATGAGAGGTCAGCAGGGACAGTGGTTACAGCTAGGGTAATAGAAGGGCAGGTCATTGAGCCTGTGGTTGTGGATAAGAGTGAAAGCCATGAACAGAGGTGTGGGGCAGGGGGTGGAGAGAGATCCAGGTGAGGAGACAGGCTGGGGCAGGGCAGGGGGCAGATGCCCTGTGACAGATCTGGGCTTAGTGTCATCTTTGGAGGTGGATGAACAAGGAGAAAGGAGGAGGCTGTAGAGACCCAAGAGTGGAAGGAGATGGGATGAGGGTGCAATCAGACCCCGACGGCTGGAACTTTAGTGTGCGTGTGGGTGCTGGCTGTGTCCACCTCACCCTGGGTGCTGCGCACAGTGATGCGGTACTCAGTGGCACTGGGAACTGGGCTCCAGGACACTCGTACCCGCTGCCCAGGCAGCTGGGTTGCCTGTAGGTCTGTCACAGGGCCCACGGGCAGCTCTGGCCCTGTTGGAGAGCATAGCATGAGAGGCAGCCTGGGGCCCCTGTCCCTTCCCCTCTCACTTGGCCAGGCCCACAGAGCCCTCACCAGTGGGGACCACAGTGGCAGGCGTGGCCACCTCGCGGCCCTCCAGCAGAGTGTGGAGCGTGAGGCGATACTCAGTGCTGGGCTGCAGCCCATCCAACTGGTAGCGGGTCACATCAGGGGGTAGCACCACCTTCTGTGGCACCTCCAAGCCTGCAAGATGACAGTGTCAGGCCAGCTGAAGCCAAGCCCTGACCCTGTGTGCTCACCCATTCCCCCGGCACTGACCAGTCTCACGCCGCCACTCCAGCCGGTAGCCACGGGCCTCAGGGACCAAGTTCCAGGAAAGGAGGATGGATGTGGGGCCCAGGATGACCGGGCGCAGGGTCTGCTCAACAGAAGTGTCTGCCCAGGGCACCTGGGACGTCAGTGGTCTCTGTGCCCTGCCTGCCTGCCCACCTAGCTTGAAAAAGCCCCCAGGCTTCTCACCAGTTCGGGCAGTCAGGGAGGTGGCAGACCCCACACTACGGCCAAGCAAGGTGCTCACGGTCACCTCATAGTCCGTGCCAGGCTCCAGGTCACGCAGCAACACTGACCCCTGCCCAGGGCCCAGCTCCTGCTGCTGTGAGGCCCCACCTACACAGGGGGCACAGAGGGGTCAGAGGGCCTTGCAGACTCAGACTCTACAATCCTGTCTGAGGTGCAGGGACCACCCCCCGCCAGCCCACACCTCTTACTCACCACTGAGGACCCGCCATGTCACACGGTAACCAGTGGCACCTGGTACACTCCGCCAGGCCACCAGAAGGCTGTGGGCTGTGGTGTTCTGGATGGTCAGCTCCGGCCCCTCCAGGGCAGCTGGGGGAAGGTCCCACCAGGGATTAGTGGAGTCAGGAGTGGGGAGGGGTTATTTGGGTGGGTGGCTAGGTGAGTGGGTCAGAGGTTAGCAGAACTGCTCACTGGTCCGAGCTGTCCCGCTCACGGCCTCCCCAATGCTGTTGGCGTAGAGGGCAACCACAGTCACTTGGTACTCAGTCAGTGGCCGGAGACCCTGCAGCTGCATGCTGGTTTCACCAGCTGGGACGCTCACCTGCCCAGGGTCAGAAGTCACTTCATCTTGCCCAGCCAAGTCCCCAGCCCTCCACCTACCACTCCTGACATCCTTACCTCCCGCCGCTCGTTTGGCAGGGGCTGTCCCAGCCCTGTCAGAGGAGTGTACTGGACCTTGTAGCCAGTCACAGGGCCACTGGCTGCCGTCCACTGTACTCGCAAGGATTGACTGCCTGGCTCAGACAGCACCAGGTCTCGTGGCCCAGAAGTCAAGTCATCAGCTGAGAAAGGGGAGAATCAGGCCACCAGGCAGGAGGATCGGGGTCAGCACTTACGGGGCAGTGTTGGGGTCAAGGGTCAGGAGCACATGGGATAGGTTCAGCACCTCCAGGGCAGGCTCAGAGGACAGCACCCCCACCTTGGTGTCAGGAGCACATGGGATAGAATCAGCACTCCCGGGTTGGGGTCGGGGTCAGAGGTCCAGGTCAGGGCATACAGTGTGGGCAGGAACTCACGGGGCAGAGTCACAGGCACACCACCAGCAGTCGTGCACACTCTCCGGGAAACGAGAGGCAGGAGCGTCCTCAAGATACTGAAGTCGTTGACGAAGAAGAAGAAATCGCTGGTCGGCTGTGAGGCCACTCGCTTCAGCTCCTCGGGGTCGGCATTCTTGATCCCTGAGGTGATGCCCAATCAGGGCTCAGCTGCCAACACACCTTGTGACTGGTCCCTGCCCCAGCTGAACTGTCACCCCAGCTCGGTACTCACCCACAGCAAACAGCTTGACTCCCTGCCCCTTCAGCCTCTGGGCAGCTGTGTCTACCAGGTCCTGGGACTTCCCATCTGTGATGAGGATGCAGACCTGGGACAGGCGCAGGGGTCAAGTCAGGGCTGCCTCAGACACTTCACTTGGGTTCACTTTGGGAGGTATGGTAGGGTGAAAGATCACCTTGGGGACACCAGGTCGGGCCACCTGGGGCAGGAAGACATGGTCAGCCACATGGAGAATTGCAGCCCCTGTGCGCGTGTTGCCCCCCTTGTAGCTGAGCTCACGGATGGAATGGATCACGTCATCCCCTGAGCCAAGCGCATCCAGGCCAAACTCTGTCCTGTGAGGAAGGGGATTGGCAACAGGCTAGACGCCAGGACCTTTTCTGGCACTCGCCTCCAAGAGGCTCCAGGGGTGAGGGTTGTATCAGGCCCCCGTGAGGGTCCTCTTGGTTCTATGATTTCTGCCCTCCACCTCCGAAGCCCCCAGGTTAAACTCCTCAGGTGCCCTTTTATGTCCTGCCTGCGGCTGGGCCTAGGCAGGCCTGGAGCCCTTGGGGCTCCCAGCCTCGGGGGTCTGGATGTCTAGTTAATTAAAAAATTGTAGGAGGGGGGCCGGCCTGGTGGTGTACTGGTTAAGTTTGTGCCCTCCGCTTCACTGGCCCGGGGTTCATAGGTTTGGATCCTGGGCGGGAACCTATACCATTCATCAAGCCATGCCGTGGTGGTGACCCATATAGAAAATATAGAGGAAGATTGGCACAGATATTAGCTCAGGGCCACTCTTCCTCAAGCAAAAAAGAGGAAGATTGGCAACAGGTGTTAGCTCAGGGCCACTTTTGCTCACAAAAAAAAAAAAAAAAATGTAGGAGGAAGGGCCCAGTTGTAGGGAGGTGGATGTTGGCCAGACAAGGAGGCCCTCTGGTGAATGGAGAGGCTGAAGGACTCAGGAGGCTAGAACATGGAGAGTGAAGCAGGCACAGGGCATCTGAGCCCCCTGGGCCCCCTCCTGGGCTCTCCATTTCCAGATCAGAAAAAACAGCCCCTGTCTTGTCCTGTCTAGGAGATCCCTGCTTCTGTCTCCAGAGGAGGTCCTGGCTGGTGGAGGGGGGAGCATCTCTGGGTTCCCTAAAGCCTAGCCTAGGGGTTTTTGGGCTCTCTGCTCCTGTCTGGCGGAGGAATCCTGGTGGGATGGGATCTCTGGGTCCCCAGCTCTGGGGGCCACCACTCACCGTGGGTCATCGCTGTACTGCACAGCAGCAAAGCGCACACCCTGCGCACTGGCTGCCCCAGAAAAGGGCAGCACCAGCCCCTCAAGGAAACCGCGCACTTCTCGGAAGTTGCTGCGGCCGATGGAGGAGGAGCCGTCAAGTAGAAACACGATGTCAGCGGCGTAAAGGCGCGTGCAGGTCACTGGGGTGGGAGGAGTGATCACGACCTTTTTTTGGAGCCCACCCACCCCTCTCCCAGCACTGTGGTTCCCTGGAACTAGGGACTGGAGTAGGGGAGCAGGCCACATCTGCTTTGCAAGCCGGCACAAGCCAGCTTGGGCCTGAAAACCCTAGAGTGAGCCGCGGTGGCCCCCGGAGCAGACGCGTCCCGGGAGGATTGGTGGGGAGGGAGAGTCGCCCCCGGGAGTGTGGACCTGGGACTGAGGAGGCCAGCGCGGAGTGAATAGGGTAGGGGACCCAGCGCTCATCTGGGGAGCCAGAACTTGGGTCCGAATAGGATAGGATGCGTTTTGGGAGACAGCGCGGAAAGCGGAGGGTTTGGGGAATCTGGCGAGAGTCAGGAGGAATGCGCGTGGGGTGGTGGGGGGCGGGATCCAGGGTGAAGGCCGGGTGGAGCCGCGGGTGACAGGGTGCAGTGCCCTAGACGGGGTCCTTCCTTCCCTGCCGTGCCCACCTCTCTCCCTTTGCTGGGCCGGTACTCGGGGCACCCCTGTCAGGATCCCGGCGTAGAGCGCGGCCACCAGGAGCCGCAGCCTCATCCTGGGTGGGGGAAACGGTTAGCCAGGACATCTGCCTCTGTCCCTCAGCCCCCGCGGCCTTAGCAGGTCCGATCCCAGCGCTCCCCCACCCGCAGTCCCGATCTTGCCTGCCTGTCCGTCGGCTCCCGCCGCCAGCCGCCGCCGCAGTCCCGCAGCCGCAACAGAGAAAAGTCCCTGATCCCGGGGGCGGAGCGGCGGGCGGGGACTCAGGCGGCCCGCCCCCACCCACCGTCCCAGAGGTCGCCGCCCGCGCCACCCCTCCCGTGGACAGATAATCTGACTCCACTTAAGTGTAAAGCCTCCCACCTCCTGTGGCTTCTAGGAATCCCCCAGAAGGTTCTCTACAGACAGATGCTGAGGCAGCCCCCTCCAAACCCTTCTAGGGTCAGAGGTCTTGGCTGCTTTTGGTCAAACACAGAGTGACTAGTAAAGTGACTGCTGGAGGCTGGAATTCAGATAGGTTCCTGGGGGCCAAAGAGGCAGCAGGATGGTGGGGGGTGGGGAAGGCTGCAGCTGGAGATGACTCACCCCACACCCTATGGGGGTGCCCAGACAAGCCCTCAGGCCATGAGTCCCGCCGGCCACTCCTGTGATTCAGCCATCCCTGTCTGTTGGGTCTCCTGTGCTCCACCCAATCCCCTTGAGGGGCAGAGCAGCCCCCAGCAAATGAGGGGCTCTGGGCTCATCCCAGGGAAAGCAAGGCACGACTGGGCTGCATCCAAGTAATGACCACCCCCACTTTGGAGGGGGAAGCCAGGAGGAGAGAATCTGTGTCATGCTTATGCATACGTGTCCATCCCAGCGTCCCACATCCTCTTCCATGCCCTGAACCATTCCCAGGCAGATGCCATCCAGCTGTGCCTTTGGGGGGGCTATCCATACATGGAAGGTGGGACCACCCACAGTGACAGCTCATCCCTCAGGAATCCACCCCCTCCTGCCTACTCCCCCACTAGTGAGCCTGTCCTTTCCAGGCCAGGTCCCCATACCCACACATCCTCTTTCTGGCCCACCAGAGTCCCCTCCTTCAATCTACTCTTCTTGAAGACCCCCTTCCACCCATCATCACCACCACGCCCAGGGGTTACCCTGGGCCTCTCCCTCGTTTCCTCACTGTCCTCATGGTCCACCTGTAGCTTCCACCTTCATAACTGTCCTTGCACCGCTCCTCTGCCCTTCAGCTGCCTGACTTCCCACCCATCTCCCTCAACTGGCCCGCCAGTTCAGGGACACTATCCTGAGAAGGTGAGTCTTTATATATGCATATCTGTTCATTATAGGAGGGTGACACCAAGGCAGAGAGACACTCTCAAAAAGAGCAGACTAGGGCCAGCCCGGCGGTGCAGTGATTAAGTGTGCGTGCTCCACTTCGGGGCCCCGGGGTTCGTTGGTTCAGACCCCAGGTGCGCACCGATGCACTGCTTGTCAAGCCATGCTGTGGCGGCGTCCCACATAAAGTAGAGGAAGATGGGCACGGATGTTAGCCCAGGGCCAATCTTCCTTAGCAAAAAAGAGGAGGATTGGCATTGGATGTTAGCTCAGGGCTGATCCTCCTCACAAAAAAAAAAAAAAATAGCAGGCCCTTGTTTATTTTTCTGCCAGTCCTGGATAATTTTGTGAAGCCCAGAAAGTACATCTATATTCACTACTGCCACTGGGCCTTTTCCAACATGCCTGGCCCCCTCGCTGCTCCTGGGAATCCACGGGCTAAGTGGGGAGAGATGGGGATGGCACTTCTGTTAAACTTGTCTCCCCTGCACTCCTCCAGGGCCTGAGGGCTCTGGTATGGCCACAGCTGGGGGCAATGAGGACCATCCATGCTGCCTGTTTCTGATTGCCCAGAAGGCTGGAGCTATAGAACAGCCCATTTTATCGCTGACCTCTCCCCCTATCATGGGATACAGTGCTGTGACTCATGGGGCCCAGAACCTTTTTCTAAGGTCACAGTCTCCTCAGCCTTGTCCCAGGAGCCCCCACCCCTTGAAGCTGTCCTACAGGGAGGGCAGCAGAGAACCAGACATGATCTCATTACAGAGGCAGCCCCTGCCCCCAAGACCCTCACCTCTTGTACAGCAAGGGTGGGTAAGAGCAGGGCAGAGCTGGCACATACAGTATGGACATAGACACAGGTGGGTCCAGCCTTTAGGGGAGACTGGAGGCCCAGCTGAGAGGGCGTTCAGGCAAACCTCATCAGAACCATGAGGGGTCCCCAAAACAAAGGAAGGGCTGCCTGCTGTGAGGGGGTCACTCAAAGCTTGCTGGGAGAGGCTGCTGGGGAGGTAGAAGCAAGGTTGGGGATGGGTGCGTGTCTGGAGCTCCCAGGAGGCTCATGAGTAGGTGTGTGGCCCTCTGAAGCCCCTGGCTCCAGCCTCCTGGCAGGCATACAGCCTAGGGCACAGCCCCAGAGGCCACCTCCCTCCATCAGGGCAGTGGGGCTTGAGTTCTGTCCTCCCTCTCACTCCCTTGGACATTTCCTTCTCTGGCTTCAGTCACCACCTCTGCCAGGTGGTACCATATCTGTCTCCAACTGGGGCCTTTTTTCAGCATTCCAGCCCTACACATCCCACTGCCTTGGACACCTTCAAATTTCTCACCAGAACTGTGGCCAAAGCTAGGCAGGTCATCCTCCTCTAACCTACTCCTTCCCTGGGGTACCTCAGCCCTGCTGGGGATGCTGTCCTGCTTGTGTCCCCCACAGCCCGCTCCAGCTCTTCCTACAGCCATGACCTCTGCTCTGCCATAGTGCAGCTCACCAGGCTGCCACAGAAATCCAGCATGAGAGTCCCCATGCTAAATGTCAGGTTGACCAAGTCACTTCTCTCCCAGTAACCTCTAATGCACCTCCCCCAACATGCCTCCAGAGTAAAGATCAAATTCCCTGGCTTGGTCTGCAAGGTCCATTAGGACCAGATCGCTCTTAGGAGCTCGAGTTCTCTCATGTGTCCAGCACCCCTGGAGCCTTTGAGGGTCAGGCCTGGGCTTAGAAGAGAAATCAAGCCCCATCCTCCAGGAGCTCAAACTTAGGACCACAGACTAGGCACTTGCTGTTCCCCTGGCCTGGTGTGCTGCAGCATCTGTAAGCACCCAGGGGTGGGCCTATCAGAGTTCTGCACTGTCCAGCAGCTTCTCTCCAGCTGGTCACAAAGTAGGAGGATAATCTGAGTGCCCCAGCCCTAGCTTCTATAAGGCACTTGACAGTTATTTCCTAATTGACAACTTGTGGCAACAAACAGGAGTGAAGGAAAAGCAATGGGGCAGGGTGGGAGTAACTCAAGGCTGGTTTTGGCTACCGCAAGGCTGGGATGCTGGGAGATTATTTGAAGTCTTCTTCTCAACAACCCTTGTCCCAGGACCCTGCTTATGATTGCCAGCAGCACCTTCCTCACAGGACAATCAAGCCCCTCACTTCTATTTCCCCCTGGGTTCCCAGGGAACCTGACTATGGAAGGGGTGGGGGGTGCAGGAAGAGGGGCGTACCTGCCCATCTGCCTTGGGGACCAGGGCCCAGAGGTGGAAGGACTAGACAGCTGAGAGCTCCACTAGGTCCTGGCTACTCAGAGAGATGGGGAGGGGCTTGTCGGGCCAGCAGCTCAGGACTTGCCTGGGACAGACCTAGTCGAGGGAGGGGGCTCAGGCCCCACTGAGCTCAGTGATATTCTTTGAGCCTGAGTCAGCAGCAAATCGAGGCAAAGGATTCTTCCCCTGCCTGTCCAGGCAGCAGTTAGAAACCAAATGGGAACACTATGCCCCAGGCTGTCCTCCTCCCAGAATCCAGAGTAAACATACAAAGGAAGCTTCCTCAGGGACAGTCCTTGCCCCCCAACCCCCACGCAGTCCCTCCGAGGGACCAGGGATTGCTAGAGGGTGATTGCATGGGACCCACAGTGAGGGGCTTCCCACCCGAACCCCCTGAGTTCCCAGACTGGGACTTCTACCAGGGCAAAGGCTGGGTCTGCAGTTCACATGGACTCTCACACCCCACTCTTGGGACAGACTGGCTAGGAGCATCCCCCACGTGGCTAAGTGGAAACATCTGGCCTCAGCTCCCCGCAGGCATCAAAGGCTTCCGGCCTCCATGCTGCAGCCCCCACGCTTGCCCCTGGCTGAGGACACATCAGCCTGTAGGAAGGCAGAAGGATCCAGGGGATGCAGAACTAGGGGGAAGTCCCTACTCCCCCATCCGCTGCTCGACATCCTCCATGCCAATGCCAAGAGAGGGACAACGCAGCTCTGAACACAGGACTTTATTGGTGGTAATCTGCAGCACAGGTTTGAAGAACTGAGGTAGTATGTTTGTGGTGGGGGGACCACGAACACCGGCCCCAGCCTCTTGCCTGCATGGGCTTCTTGCCTAGAAGCGCAGCCAGAACATGCCGCTACGGATCCGGTTGTAGTCTGGGAGCTGCTCAATGGGGCCTGTGGGGATAGATAGGGTGGAGCATCAGGGTGGGGTACTTGGCCTGTACAGGGACACCTGGCCCTGTGCCGCACCCAATTCAGAGCTGCCCAGAGCAGCACAAGACAGGCTTTGAGTGGAAAGAGGGAAGAGAACATTCCCCCAGGGGTGCTGAGCCTGTCCCTTCATGTTCTGGCCCTTGGAGCCCCACCCCACATGCGGAGGTGTCCATTACCTGGTGGGTGTGGGGTACTGATGGAGGCACCTTGGCAAGGAGTCAGGGAGCTGCTGGGACAGGTTTTCTGAGCAGGAACTCCCTGGCAGCCAGGCTATTGGGCAGAGCCTCTTGGGGGCCTCAACTTGCTGCTCCCAGTGTAGGCTGGGGGATGGGGGAGCAGAGGCGGAAGGGGAACAGAATGGCCTGAGAAGGACAAAGAGCAGGCATTCTAGGCCACTCACCCAATCCAGCCACTGCCGGACACTGGTCATAGAAGTACTTGGAGCAGACCTCACGCACCACACTGGCATCCACTTCCTACATGGTAAAGCAGAGGGCACACTGACTTACAGGCACCTGGGGAACATCTCGGCCAGTCAACATTAACCAACTGACCAAGATCTTCTACATGTACCATGAAGCTGCCCCCTCACCCAAAAGGGAAAAGGCAGCAGGGCTCTCCTTGCTGTAGACTTC